CCTTGGGGCAAATGCAACAAATTATTGTCATCAATTTTTAGATGCAAAGCTCGAGGAGTGACATTTATTGAAGCGTGGCTGTGCAGCGAGGGCCAGCGGGCAGCGTCTCATGCCAGGATGCAGCCGGACGTGATTGTACACATTGCTCCACATTGAAGGCGACCGACCGGCTGACTAGCTAGCTGGCTGGCTGGCCGACTGGCTTAATGTCGATTATAGTGTGCCGTCGAGGAGTGACACGTTTTCTGGCTGATTGCTAGGAAACGATGGCCAGCAACGAGCGCAACAAGTGGCCATCGGGCGGACACTTAAATTAGCACTGAGCCAGTCCGCTCTTATTTCAGTTTCTTTTCGGGGTTTTGTCTTCGCCGGCCGCTTCATTAGCGCACCAAAAAGTAAAAGCCTCCAAAGAAAGAAAAAAAAGTATTTATATATGAAATTATGTCCATATTTGTGGTAAATTATGAGACCCTTTCATAAATCAGCACCGGGGGCAGCTGCTGCTGCTGCTGTAGATGCAGCGACCTAGCCCAGTAGACGGCTGGCAGCGCTCACAGAAGGACTACTTAAAGGCCAAAAGGCTGGCCAAAATAGACCATGGAAATTTACATTGTGCCGCCACAAGCCAACGCTGGACAATCGCCAGCATTTGACTTGCTTTAAACTATGCCATTTATCATACACAGAGCGACCGATATACATACGTACTATATAGACACACACACACACACAGATAGTTATAGTTATATATATACTATGCACACTTTGTCAGTCCGCATTTGGCCTTTTGCTATTTTCACCATTTCTTTCGCTTTTCAAAACGAACGACAACAATTCCATTGTTGTTAGCTCCAAAAAGGCTACCGTTTTGTGGAGCGCCTGCTTTTTTTTCTGTCTTTGCGCCACTTATCCACTGACCGCACTGCGTAGCCTGGGTGGTGCTGCATTTGGGCCGCGACAATGAGTGGACAACCAGATCAGAGCCACTAACAAACTCAAATATGATGCTCAATGGAAAGACTCTGCAGCATCTGGCAGCATTCGCCTAGTTTCCGATTCGAGGAGTACTCGATGCGCCGCTATCTAGAGCTGCCTAACCAATCCAAGGAAGATATATTTGACTTTAGGTGCTCGCCCTGTAGTTGCTCTACAAAGACAAGTAAGTAGTTCTCGAATCTGTGCCAGGATTTCAGTGGTTACACTTATTAGATATCATGAGGTACTTTATCTTATAGATATTCTCTCTATATATATACTCCACCTTAGAGATACTGATACATTTTGACAGTTATCCAATCTGTGCTAAAATTGCAGTAGCTAAACACATTATGAAATGTTCCATTTGCGTGCCCTATCTTGTAGGTACAATATCTTATAGATACTTTATCTTATATATTACTCGGTAAAGGACTAAACGTTTTTGAATTTGTGCTAAAAATGTATTATAAATAGTTTTTAAATATATCATAGATATCATGAAATGTCGCTCTAAATAGGAAAATGCTTATCAAGGTTTATTAATTATAGATAATGTAAGATAATAATTATCAGCATATTTAATATCAATAATCTACAGTGGACTCTAAGAATATATGAAAAGGCATTTGGACTTCTTAATGATTCATGGACAAATTTATATCTCACTCAACTGGTTTCGCTCCTCGACAGAGTATAAGAGTCATTGCCAGATTACAATTCCAGCTGAAATTTTAAGATCTTATATTTATAACAGCAGCAATAAAGGAATATATTAACTAAAATATTTATATTCAAGTGCAGGTAGCTTTCAACAAACATATTTCTCCGCATTAAGCTGACAAGCTCGTAGTTAGCTTGCACTTGTGAACTTTTGAGGCATTCAACAAATTGTCTTCGTGGACGTAACTTATGCCAATTAAAGATGCGATGCGACCCCCTCCCCAGTGTCGGCTGTGCTGTGGCCGTGCCTGGGCTGGCTTTGGGATATGCGCAGCTAATTGACCGACAACAGCGAGCGCAGATGCTGCACTTCATCAGCGGGCAAAAAAAAAGTGAGACCTGGTCGAGTGGCGCGGCATTACGTCAACGTCAACTCAATTTGGCGTTTAACAAGCATGGGACACAGTCGAAGATGGAGTCCGTGTCCGAATCCAAATCCACAGCCAAGTCCGAGTCCGAGTCCGAGCTCGAGCTCGAGCTCGAGTTCGACTTTGAGTTCGGGCTCGAGCTCTGAGCCGGCGCGGGTCAAGTGCTGACGCATCTGCCAAATTGAGTGAAGTGCACCAAAACTTGTAGTAACCAAAAATAAAAAATGCTTGAAAAATAATGAGAGTTGTGGCTGTGCTGTGCTCGTCGTCGGCGATGTAGCTCGCAGCATCATTAAGAGTGATCATCTGTCAGGCGGCTTGAAACATGAAACATGAACGAGATCTTTGCCTCATTTATGTTTTTCATTTTTGGTTTTTTTTTTCTTCTGATTTTGCTTTGGGTTTTGGCTCTGGTCTTGGTCGGCGCGCTGTTGCGTTGCTCGGCGACAGCTCATTACGATTATACATCCATATTTCCATGAGCTTGTGAAATTTTCAATTAAATAAGTGGACTCGATGTGCTGCAAGTACCAAAAATTATACAGCTGACAGTTTGAGAAACATAAAAACATATTGGTGAAATAATAAGGAAATATTGTTAATTATAATTGCAAAGAATTTATTATTCATATAAATAATATAAATTTCCGCCCGTATGGTAATATAGTACTGATATTTATATAAAAAAAATTAAAAAATACTAAAAGTACTAAAATTACGAGCTCAAGTTTATAGCTTTGTTTTGATGGTAGTAATATATTGAGATTCATAAGAAAAATATATATTAATAATAATATTTATATAATATTAACACGCGCTTGCAGACGATAATATAATACTAATATTCATTGTTGTAGTGATGGCGTCGCCGATAAGTACAAAGACCGGGGTGTAGTTTCCAGTCTTTATTCGTAGGATGGTAGCTGTTCAGCTCGTATGTAAGCAAAGTAAGTATAGGCCAGGAGAGGCAAGTGACCAGTGTGTGCGGGTGTGAGACGCAGTTTCCCGTGAACCAGTAGGAGAACTAAGGTTATGTTATTAACAGAGTGCTGTTAATAGCATAACATTGTATGGCGCGGGAGGAACAATTCTTGTTAATGGGATCTGGCATTAACATTCATATTAAATAAATAATAATACTAAAAATAATAATATTATTAGCACACGTTTTCAGCTTGTTGACATGCCTTGGTTGCAGTAGTTGTAGGCTAAGCACTTACAAATATATGTATGTATATGTTGACATTTTCCAAGGTTGAACATGGGTGTGATATGAATCCTTCAATTGCTTATGATGTATTTGTCACTGAGAGTGGAAGAACTGAGAGTGGAAGAACTGAGACTGAACTAGTAAAAGCCAAGAATATTCGTTCAGCCACACATTTCTGCAAACGTTGAGCAATTCCCTGATCTGTTTTCTAAAACAACAAAAGGTAATACAAGTCTAAAGCTAGTTTTCTATATAGCCTTCAATGCGAAATGTCAGTTGGGAATATAAAAAGTGTTTGTTCATATGCTATGGCTAAGGTTTCACAGGTGTTTTGCTTTCCGTTCAGCCAGGGCACAGTCATAGAAATCTATAAAAATGGGCCTGCTCATTGAGTTTCAGTTATAATTTCCAGTGGAGGCGTCAACTCAACATGTCCTCCGTAAATTATCAACAGCTAGCTCTGGCGCTGCATTTGTGTCTCTTGGGGCTGGCCCTGGCAGTACAGACAACGCCAGAAATTCCCACGGAAGTCTACTGCAAAACCGTGCACTGTGGCGACAGGAATATTGGATGTCACAGTACTAAAGTAGGTATGCATATATATTATGAGGCACTGTGGCTAACTCATGCTCTGGTCTCCTGTGCAGAATATGAATATGAGCGCCACATGCGCCCCAGACGCCAAGATGGTCAACTTGTTCATGTACAAAGCGCACCTGCTGCATCTGTTCAACAGCTTTCGGAACAAGGTGGCTCTGGGCTATACGCGCAGCTTGCATCCGGCCGGACGAATGGCGCGGATGGCCTGGTCCCGGGAGCTGGAGAGCTTTGCCATCATATATATGAAGAGGTGCAGGTTTTATCCGCGTCCCTGCATGTCCTCGCCCGAGTTCACAACCATTGGCAGCATCTACGACGGACTCACCTACACGGGCAGTTTTAAGTCGCACAAGGTGCCGGAGATTACGGAGGAGTTGCTCTCCGGCTGGTTTGAGGACGCGCGCCTCGTGACCCGGCCCATGATAATGAGTCTGACCAATGAATTTCCCAAGCCGTCAGTAAGCCATGAATCAATCTGAATAGATTTTTGCTAATCGACCGTACTCTCGCAGATCCGTGCGTCAGGCTGTGCTGCTCATGGCGGACCGCAATACGCACGTCGGCTGCAGCGGCATGCGATTCTCCACTGGCATTTCCCATAACTTCAACTTAGTCTGCGCCTTTGCCACCGACAACATGCTGCAGAAGGCCATCTACAGACCCTGGGCTGTGCCTGGCGCCTTGTGCAAGGCGCGCGACAGAACCTACAAGAACCTTTGCGCCCTTGGCGAAGTCTACAACAACAAGCACGTGTACAGGCCGGGCGAGCTGCTGCCAGCTGAGTCGGAACACATTTCCGGAATAGACGCGTGATAAAAGGTTCTACTGAGGTGAAATACCAAACTGCATTTCCGATTAGCTTTGTCAAATTGAAGTGAAATGAAGATTCGTCTGATATCTGTATCAGTATTATATGGTAGCTGGATTTTTTATTATATGTATAATGGGAGTTTAAAAGACAGACGAAGGCGTGGCAGATCATATAAAGTATATATTTTCTTGATCAAGGTGACAAGCTGAGTTGATTTACCATTGTCTATTCACCCGACTGTCCCATTCTTCCATCCTTTTGTCGACCTGTCTATCATATAATATGCGTAGCTTATCCGACGTCTAGGTTAGCATTTTGATGTTTTTTGTTTTCTACTGCTGGCGTGCTTCTTTAATGCCTAATAACCTTCAGTTCCTTAGATAACAATAGTTTCTACTTCATCCAAGTCAAATTCGGTGGGCAGGTTCGGCTTGATTGGGGGCTTACAAACTCTCATACACTCCTCATAGGTGCTGAAGCGATTTGGATTGCCGCCGCAGCCACTGTACGGAAACTCTTTGCATTGCTGATCATAAGTGTCATAGGCGAACATTTTCTGATGGGATTTGCATGGACCGCGGTCCGGCATCATTATGCATGGAGCTGAAATGTTATGTTTAGCATTTAGTTGATTTCATTCAGCTCTCACTTACACAGATTGGCCTGCGAGGCTGCAAAGTCTGTCATCAGAAGGCCTAAGAAGCAACAGAAGAGTAAAGCTCTTAGGAAATCCATAAATGTTTCCCTAATTGACGTCATAATTTTTGTTGTGTTATCGGCCAAAAATAATTTTGAATTTGTCTCGATTCGAAACCTGACTCAAAGCTTGCTCAGAAAATATATATTAGATTATATATTTGGGTACGTTTTTTTATAGTCGACTTCTATTGCTAGAGTCACGTCTTATCTAAGCGATAAATTGTTTGCCTGCAACTCTGTTGATCTCCTTAACTGTTTCTTAAATGCATTTTCCAAGGCAAAGTCTGCTTTTCCAGAGCGTTGCTTAAGCCAGTTGATTGCCAATGGGTTCGTGGTTCATTAACGTGACCCGGCCTTTAGTGCCATAATTGCAATTGGTCCAGCTGGAGCGGTTGGAGAGGCTGCATCAGGCACCTGATGGAGTTGCTCCACATTCTAATGGAGCTCGTAGATTGATGATCGTGATAGCAGAAATTGGAGTAGAGCAATTATAACTAGTTTTAACAACAATTAATGCTTGAAATGCATGAAATATTATTAGAGTACCATAATTTCTCCAAGGAGTCATTAGGCAGCAAAAAAGAAAAAATAAAAACGACGACGCGTCTTGTTAATTTACTTAATTGAAATGCATTTGCATATGCCGCGTAATACTCTAGCCTCTTGGGAGCTATTTGGACAGTGGCCAATTAGAGTTTTTTAGAGTTTGTGATTTATGGCGAATCCTTTAAAAGCCGCGAGCCATCAATCAATGTCAGGCAGTAATATGTCAAAGTCTGGCAATGAATTCTCTGCGAACTATTTTGTGGGTTCTGCTTTCGATTATCAGGCCAACTGTCGAGGCAGACACCTCGACAGTGCTCCGGCTGCTGAGCAGCATTAAAAAACAAGACGACTTCAATTATTTATTGCTAATGAAATATCAAAATGTTGCTGTGTCAGAGAAATTTATGGCCAATTGTTTTGTGAGAACTCTAATGGAAGATCTGCAAGCGCCGGTGATGCAGCTCGACGAGCGCGTTAATTATATTCTCTATGACAGGCAAAGCAGTCGGGCGTTGTCTGTGCTCTATCTGATCGGAGCAGATATAGACGACTATGAGCGCTTGCTCAGAGCCCTGGTAGTCAACTTGAGTCACATGACCACGTCGCGGGTGGTCTTCATGCTGCAGCTGGAAGAAGCCAACGAGACGCTTCTCCACAAATTGTTCAACATCTGCTGGCAAATGAAGTTGCTCAACGTGCTGGCGATATTCGAGAGCTTTCAGGTATACTTAATGGGCAATAGATGGACATATAGTCATGTTTTGTGTGTTTCAGTTCACAAGCACCTTCTACAGCTATTCGCCGTTTCCCAGTTATCAATTGGAGCAGCGCGCATTTCACTCCAGCTCGATCATCTTTCCCGATCGTCTGCGAGATCTTCAGGGATTTAGTGTGCGCATTGCAATTGGTGGCGCTGCTCCTCGCATCATAGTCTACTACGACAGACAGGGTCACATAGCCTATCGAGGCATCCTGGGCCACTTCATGCATGCCTTTAGTCAGAAATACAATTGCACGCTTACTCAGCCGATGCCAGCCAGGCCGAATGAGCTGCTTCCGTCGACGCAACTGAGCGCAGCCGTGCGCAACGATACTGTGGACATCTCGTTCGCCATTACGTACCCCATACAGCTCAAAATGCAGCCCTATTCGTATCCCTACGAGCTCATGAACTGGTGTATGATGCTGCCCGTGGAGGCGGATATACCGCGTGCGGACTGCTATCTCTATGTCTTTGAGCTGCAGGCATTCGTGCTCACGGTTGTTCTCCTGACGATCATATCAGCACTGCTCTCAGCGGTTCTGCGATCCGAAGGCTATTCGGTTCGGCTACATGAGTTCATACTGCACGAGAGTTGTGTGAGGGGCGTATTGGGACAGTCTGTCCATCAGGTGCGTCGCGCTTCGATGCACCTGAGCTCCATATACCTGCAGATCAGCTTATTGGGATTTTCGATTACCACCTGGTACAACTCCTACTTTTCGGCCTATGTGACTAGCATACCCAAGGTACCGCCCTACCGAGGCTACGATGACATCATGGCCTCCCAGTTGAAGGTTGTTGTATGGGAGGCGGAGTACGAGGAGCTGTTAAGATTCCAGCCGGACATTCGGCAATACGAGTCCATGTTCCTTATAGAGCCGAGCTTTAACAAATTCATGCGAATGGGCGACTCCTTTGACACGCGCTATGGCTTCATGACGACAACCAGCAAGTGGCTGGTGATCAATGAGCAGCAGATGATCTTCAGGAAACCACTTTTTCGCATTCGCACCGATTTGTGCTTCTTCAATAATGTCCCGCTCGGCTTTCCACTGCACGAGAACTCCATCTATAAGGATAGCATTACAAAGCTGATCCTGCAACTGGAAGAGACGGGCCTAAAGTCGCACTGGAGTCTGAAGGGATTTTCGGAGCTAGTCGAAGCTGGTGAAATGCAATACTTGGACCACAGTCGGCGGCGGGAATTCCGCGCTATGAAGCTAGACGATCTGGAATACGTTTTATATGGCTTTGGTCTTATGCTGGTATTATCCTTGGTTGTCTTCTTGCTTGAAGTGTTTGTGAATTGGCTGAGAGAGAGTAGATGGCATAATTATAACTAATTATGTTAGTGATTTTTAATATTTGATAATATTTTATGTTTATAAGTTTAACTATTTAATATTTATATTAAATGCTCAGTTTTTTAAGCTAAAAAAAAATAATAATAATAAATAAATAAAAATAAATATAATAATAATTAATAAATAATTTGAAAAAAATATATATAAAAAATACACAATTTAATAGTAAATTGTAAAATAAACTTGGCTTTTTTTTAATTTATGAAAAACAAGAAAACCCCATTGTATTTTATTTTAAAATCGAAAATTCATTAGTAAAAGGCTTGATTAATACTCATATATATAGAAACATTTATTTCCGTGAAAGATTACATATGTAATACATATGTGTATATATAAATAATATTTAATTTCATTAAAAATTTATCAAAAATTTATAAATAACTTCTGTCTTAGTTAAAAAAAAATTAAATTTGAATATTTATAATTAAAGTATTCATTATCTAGCTGTTAATTTTTGATTAGGATACGTTTCTAAAACATTGACAAACTTAACATAATTTACATAAATTTTGCCACATAAGTAGTTATGTTGCACTAGCATACCACAATGTAATGCTACCTTTTATGGATTGAAAAAAAGGTAAAAAAAAAAACAAATTACAACGATATTATGACAGCTCACCGACACAAGTTATTTCACTGCGAGCAGTGTTAACATCGTTTGCTTGTAATCTACTGGGATTTGCTTTGTATGGGACGCGTGTTAGGCGCCAATTGGACATATTTTGTTGTGTTTCCTTGGATCATTAGTAACCCTTTAAAAAGGCGTTGGCATGTTGCGATGTCCTGCAGTGGTTCGCTCATGCCCGCCATGGTCTGCCATTGGGTTATTTTGCTTTGGACTATCAGCTGGACAGGCGAGGCGAATAGTTCGGAAATTCTGCAGTTGCTGAGCACCATAAAGCATCAGGAACATTTTAATTACATGTTGTTGATGAAACATCAAAATAACAGCGAGTGGAGGGAGCTCAATGATGGCCAAGACTTTGTTAAGAGTCTAATAGACCAGCTGCAAACGCCTGTGATTCAACTGGATGAGCGCGTTACCTACTTCTTGTATGACAAAAATAGTAATATAATACTCACTGTGGCACATTTGCTGGGAACGGATTTCGAGATGAATAAAAGATTGCTTGGGTCGCTGGTCAAGAACCTGAGAGTTATGACCGTCTCGCGGGTCGTATTTATGGTGCAACTGGAACAAGTAAACGAGATTTTCCTATACGAATTGTTCACCTACTGCTGGGAAAACCGGCTGCTGAATGTGCTGGCGATATTCGATGACTTTGAGGTATACGGCAGATCCACTACAGAGATATTAACTCATAAATTGTATATTCCAGCTAACAAACACCTTCTACAGCTATTCGCCATTCCCCAGCTACCAATTGGAGCAACGCGTGTTTGATCCCAACTCGATCATCTTTCCTGATCGTCTGCGTGATCTTAAGGGTTTCAAAGTGAGGATTATACTGGGTGGTGCCACTCCGCGCATCATAATTTATTATAACAAACAGGGAGATATCGTGTATAAGGGCACTTTGGGCCATTTCATGGAGGTCTTTGAGCAGAAATTTAATTGCACTCTTACGCAGCCGATTCCTCTCAAGCCGAATGCATTGCTTCCATCGGCGGACCTGGTCGCAGCTGTGCGAAACGAGACTGTGGACATATCTTGGGCCATCACGTTCCCGGAAGGATATGATATGCTGCAGTATACCTATCCCTACGAGCAGTTGAACTGGTGTGTGATGCTGCCTGTGGAGGCGGACATACCACGCGCCGAGTATTACATCAATGTGTTCGATCTTGGGGCATTTCTGCTCACTCTGGGCGCCATATCTGTGATTTCAATGACACTGTCGGGGGTTCTGAGGCACCATGGCTACTCTGTGCAGCTGTATGAGTTCATACTGCACGACAACTGCTTGAGAGGCGTTCTGGGGCAATCCTTTTACCAGGTTCGTCGCGCCTCGTTGCTATTACGGGCAACCTACATGCATATTTGTGTGCTGGGTTTTCTGTTGACAGCTTGGTACAACTCCTACTTCTCGGCCTTCGTGACCAGCATCCCTAAGGAGGCGCCCTTCCGGACCTACGATGATATTTTGGCCTCTAAGATAAAAGTGCTCGCCTGGGAGGGGGAGTACAACGAGCTCATAGCACGTGCCAAGGACTTGAAGAGATACGAGCGCATGTTCCTGGTCGAGCCCAACTTTAACAAGTTCTTGCGCATGCGTGACTCCTGGGATACCTCGCAGGGCTACATGATGACAACCATCAAATGGGTCGTTATAAACGCTCAGCAGAACATCTTTAGTCGACCCCTGTTTCGGATGCGCAACGATTTCTGTTTCTTCAATAATATTCCCCTTGGATTTCCGGTGAACGAAAACGCCATTTACAAGCAGCCCATAGCCACACTCATCTTGCAGCTGACTGATGCGGGTATCGTTAACTATTGGACAAAACTCGGATTCTCGGAAATGGTCGAGTCGGGCGAGCTGCAATTTTCGGATCTCAGTCCACGCAGAGACTTTCAACCCATGCAGCTGCAGGATCTGCAGTATGTGTGGTACGGCTATGCTTTCATGGTCGTGTTCTCCTCAATTGTGCTTCTGCTCGAAGTGATGTGGAATCGCTTGAAACTACGACGCCAGCGTAAATCCATTTAGATATGATTGTTGACTCGTTCATGTAATGAAAAGTGGTTGGTGTTAGCCTGGAATTCTAATCATCTGCCCTTGCACTTCTAGCTGTCGATCTATTCGTCTATACGCCCATTCCTGAGTCCCTCTGTGTACCCGTCTTTCTATCAATATGAACTTTGGCCACTTTGCTGCTATTGAGGCGAAAGACACTTGGACTTTTGTACACGCCTATTAGGGGCGTGTCAGTTTTGGAGTTGCTTTCACTGTTCACTGTGTAGAAAAATATAGATTTATATACTTACTTACGTTCTATTGGGATCAGTGAAATTCTGCCTCTGTTCCTCAACTTCCAAGTTATAGAGATGAAAGATTATGTTGTTCCTCTCTATATAGAAGTGTATATACTACTCTTCCAGGGATTCAGTATTGGAGCTAGCAGCATGACGTGATGTAGGCGAATTATTGTTAGGTTCCCAGAACTACCCATGCATATAAGGACCAATCTGAAAACTCCATTCACCCGTAGAATATGGATGAATGAGTATTATCAAGTCGCCTACCGCAATGTTGTTATTTACATATCTAATTAAAAGACGCAACAATATATTGAAGTCTGCTTTTTTTCTGTCTATTGCGAGTCGATCACATGGGAGCCCATGTTCAATTTATTCCCACTCTTATTTTCATCTTGGATAATTAATTTGTCAAAAGCTTGTGCAAAGTGCGCATAGTTCGGCGTTTCTTTGTGCAAATGGCCATTTGGCAGGAGATGTTGGCTCAAAGTTCATCAAATGCAATTAAGATGCTTGTTCGAGTGCGGTGGCGAGCGCCGCAGATTGCGGCTGGGTCTGCTGCAGGTCCCCCAAGGTGCCACGAAGACGTCGCGACGTCTCGAATGATGTGAGCCACCTGCGCCAGCAACAGCCAACCGGCAACTGGCAACTGGCGCCTCTTAAAATTCCCTAATCGACATGTTTCGATCTCAAATGACTTGCCGCTCACTACGCTCACAGTTGCCGCTTGCCGCTTGCCTGCCAGATGCTGCAAGTAAAACATTTTCTCTAATCTGCACTGATGTTTGCTGTTGGCGCTGTTGGTGCTGCTGGCGCATGCGGCACGCATTTGCTGCCTCTCCCCTGCCTCTTGCCCCACTGCCACAAATCTGCAGCACAGCTCACTGATGATGCTGTTAATGCAGCAGTAGCTCCGCACTTTGATTTTGACTGACAAGTGCCGCCTGTGTAATGTTGCAGCCGATGTTGCCGCTGTTGCTGTTGCTGTTGCTGCTGCTGCTGCTGTTGTTGCAGTTGTTGTTGACATGCGCAGCTGCATGCGCTTGCATGCGCTTCCTTTATTGGAGAAAATTATTTATATGCCCCTGATGATCTCCGTCCAGCTAGCGGCCTGCAAAACTAATTAACACAATGCCAAGACTCTGCTCCAAGACTCTGCTGCTCGGCCATGAATTGCGATGATTCAATAAACTTTTTATTTTCTTTATTTTGATGTTTAATGTTTGCAATACTTAAATTAAATTAAATTATTATAAGACTTAATTGGTAATTTTGTTCAAATTTTTCTTTTCTTTTTTTTATATTTTTCTCTTTTTTCTCTGTTTGCATAAATAATAACTAACAAACATTTAACTAAAGAATGTAATTCGATTCGCAGCGTGTATAAACAAGGGCTTAGATACAAAATTAATTATGTACATAAATTAAATTCAATAAATTAGAAAATATTGCAAAATTCACAGTAAATATATATATATGTATGTATATATGTAACAATATGTGTAACGTAACCCAAACACCGGAAGTAAAGTTTTTTTCTTGTTATTTAATTTTTTATTAAAACTATCACATAATAATTGGCAGTTTAATTAATTATTAATTAATCATTAACTAAACGTAATTATATTCAATTTGTTTTACTTAGCCTAGATATTGTGTATAGTTGTTTATTTATTTATAGTACATACAAACAGCGGCGAGTGTCAGAAGAAGAAGTTGGATATACATATGTATAGTTAATCGAGTAACATAGACGATTTATCAAATACGAACAAATAATAATGGCAAGTGCAATGCATTGGAGCATTTTCAAAGTTTTCTGCAAGTAGTTGAGCCGTGGATAGCATGAACACTTCTCAGGGCTGGCGAAAAAGTGTGTGAGTATTATCGAATAGAAGATTAGCTTGTGCCTGGGTATGAGAGATCCTTGAAGAGAAGACATTTATAAATTCGTATTTCTCAGAGTGTTCTATTTATATTTTTATTTTAAGTTTTTCTGAAGTGTTCAAGCTTCTTCTCATTGCTGGCATTTAGCTTAAGCTATTAACTATTTACATTGACGAACTTTAACCTTATGCTAATTAGGGGCAGCAAAGCAACTAAAATGAAATACTTTTAATTTACAGGAAACGCTTCACAAAATATATTTAATTTCTTTTAATTAACCATAAATTTGTATTAATTTATGTAAATGATTAATGTGGGTGAGTTCATGGATTTTAAAAATATTTTTTGTTTTATTTATTTTTAATTTTTTTTAAGGAAGCGTTTGGCCTCATTTAGATATCACCTCGCATTCATTTGCTTTTTAGCTTCGTTTTCACTTTTAATTATTTAATTAATATCTCTTCCATTAAATTTGGCACATTTAAAATTAATTTGTGTGTGTATGTATGAGTGTGTGTGTGTGTGTGTGTGTGTGTGTGTGTGGAAGTGCATTTAGTGTGTCTTGATGTATTTGTGATATAGGAATTGCACAGAAAGCTGAGATAGGAATTCATCAATGACATTCAACACTTTCCCAAGAGTATTCAAAAAGTTAGCTTAGTTTAATATATATTTTTTTTTTATATAATTCGTTTTGTTGTTAGTAAGGAACAAGAAATAGTTTGCTGTTTGTGATTTTCATTTACGTTTTGTTTTTTGTGGAACATAGCCTATGTGTATATAATTATATATGTATATGTATGTATATAGCCAAGGTCGGCTCTACTACCTGTTGGCGAGCAGGCCATTAGCTGGCGGCAAGACGCCGGGCGGCGTGTTTGGTCCGCTCAGCACGACGCCGGCGCTCATTAAACTGGGGCTGGCCACCGCGGTGGCCACAGCGCTCAGCTGCCGCTGCTGGGCCAGGCTGTTGGCGGCGGCGGCGGCGGCGTTGCCGGAGCCCGCGCGCTGGTGCTTGCCGGAGCTGCCTTTGATCAGGCTGCCATTGTTCTTCTGGGTCATGTGGGTCTGGTAGTGCTTGGCGAGATGCGCCTTCTGCCGGAAGCTCTTGCCGCACAGCGAGCACGCGAACGGCTTCTCGCCCGTGTGCGTGCGTATGTGCACATTCACCGAGTACTTGTCCTTGAAGCCCTTCGAGCAGATGGAGCAGTAGTGCAACGAGCGCTCCTTCCGCTGGCTGCCGCCGGTGCTGCTGCCGCCCGAGTTGGCATTGCAGTTGGCTGGCGGACTGTTGCTGCTGCTGCTGGCGCTGCCGCTTGAGGAGGAGCTGCCGCCGTTGCCTATGACCACGCCCAGTACATTGTTGCTGCTGCTGTTGTTGTTGTTGTTGGCGGTGCTGCTGTTGTTGTTGTTGGCCACATTAGGATTGTTGTTGTTGTTGGCGCTGCTGTTGCTGCGCTTGTACTGCTTCTTGGGCTTGCTAATGCCGCCCAGGCGACCTCCATGCACAGTTGTGCCCACAGCAGTGGCCGCTGTCGACGTGGACACCTCGGGCTTTAGTGGCTGCGGGGGCGGTGGCTGTTGCTGCTGCTGTTGTTGCTGTTGCTGCTGCTGTTGCTGCTGTGCATTGGCCAGCGGCTGCAGTTGCTGTGCTGCGTTTGACGCTGTGCCGCTCGGCGACAGCTGCATGAGCACATCGCCGCTGGCGTAGTCGCCGGACGTGGGCGTGCCCGTGCTGGCGCTGCAGAACTGCTGCACCTCGTTGGCAATGCGCTTGATCTTCTCGAAGTCGTCGCTGAACGCATTCTCCAGCGAGAGGAACATGTCGTCGACAATGATGCTGGCGTTGCCGCCGTGCTGGCCGTGATTCGAGCCAGCCATGTGCGCGTTTGATCCACCGTGGGCCATGGCCTGGGCATCGTCGAACATTTGGGCAGTGCTGAGCGTGGAGTCCGCAAAGCCCAGCGCATCCGCAGCATCGTCCGGCGTGAAGAGCAGCCTGCGCATCTCCTCGTCCTTGACCACGGGCAGAGCCAGGCCATTCTGCATGTGCAGACCCTTGGCATACCCCTTGCCCTGCAGTGCGCTGCGCAACAGGGACTCTGCCGTGTTCTGCTCCGCCTCCGCATTGTGATCGGCCATGTGCCAGTCGTTGTTGTTGTTCTGGAACTGGGCCAGCTGCTGGCCCAGCTCATTGACCCCGCCGCCCGCTATGGAAATGGCCGTGACCAGCGAGGGCAGCGTCTGGCCATGCGACTGCGACTGCGAAATACTGCTGAGCCCATTGGCATCGGCTCCATTGACAATCACATCCTTGCCATCCGTGCTGAATCCGCTGTCGTCGTACGGGTACTCCGACTTGATGTAGCCCGGAAAGCTGCCCAGCAAGCTGTCCAAGTCCAGCGCGCTGGGCAGCTGCTCCGCCTCGGCACGCTTCAGCCAAGGCTCGCCGCCATTTAATACTGTCAATGTGTAGATCTGACCGTCCGTCGTGTCCAGGCTGCTGATGGTGTCGCTGCTGCTGCCGGCGGCACTCGACGAGCTGCTGGCGTTTGGCTGCTGCTGCTGTTGGTGTTGCTGATGTTGCTGTTGCTGCTGCTGATGTTGCTGTTGCTGCTGCTGCTGCTGCTGCTGCTGATGGGTATGTGGGTGTGAGTGTGGATGTGTTTGCGGAGACGTGGGACTCGGCTGGTTGCTGCAGCGCACGTTGTTGGCATTGACAGTAGTCGTGGCGCTTGCTGTGATCGGCTGCTGCTGCCAGCAGTAGCGATCGAGGTCCTCGAAAATCGAGCTCGAGTCCAGGCGGCTGTTGTCCTTGTCCTGATGCCAAAACTGTCGAATGAAATGGAATGAAACGAGTGGGAAGATTCGGTTTAGATAAGCAGTGATTTAAGTCTCGCGAGGATCTGCTGATGGCTTCGTACTCACCTCGTAGCCTTGTAACGTGGGATCGCCGCCATTGCTGCTGCTGCCATTGCGATTGCTCACTGGGACAATGCCAGCACCACCGCCACCGCCCTCGCCAATGTCGTGGGTCATGCTGCTGGTGGTTCGCGCGCCGCCGCCGCAGATCGCCTGCTGCGGCGTTTGTGACGTCGTTGGCTGATGACCTTGGCTATGGCTGTGACTGTGCTGCTGCTGCTGCTGGTGGTGGTGTTGCTGCTGCTGATGGTGCTGTTGTTGCTGCTGCTGCAGGCTGACGCCGACACCGACGCCGACGTCGACGCCAACACCAACACCAATGCCAATGCCCATGTCCGGCGCCGTGACAAAGTCGAAGAAATCCGTCTTTGAGAGATCCTCGGCACGAAAGGATTCACTTATATCCATGCCAGTCGATGTGGACATATCCTCGGTGCCAATCATTTGTTGTGCGTATATTTCCAGTTCGCAAAACTCGCTTTAATGCTGGCCCAGGAGAATAAATGTTGCTGAATTTTTTTGCGTATGCCTCTTTCAAGCTGCAATCGACAAAGATGGCAAGAAAAAACTATTAAAATGTAATTCGTTTTATTTTATTTTAATTTCTTAAATAAAGATTTATATTGCTTTCGTAATTTATATAATTGAAATTTAATGCATTCACAGGCAACAAAAAGAAATAAAAACCAGCTCTAAGTGTTTTGTTGCTGCTGCTGTTGTTGTTGTTGTTTCTGTTGCTGTTGGCAACTTCCTCCACGCCTCTGATTAGTAAACAGTTTCCCTCGAATCTCTTTGGGGACATGCAAGCATGTGTGTGTGTATGTGTGTGTGTGTGTGTGTGTGTGTACATTAATTTATTTAAGCCACTTGTCAGCTGGCTGCATAAGTCAATCAGTCATTCATTCGCCCATTTCTTGCACTCGGCTCACCTCGGCTCGCCAGCGTGCATTCCAGCAATACTTGCATTTTAATTTGGCCAGCAGCTACTTTAGCCTTCTCAGCTTTTTGCTTGGCTATCTGCAAACAAATAAATCAAACTGACAGAAGGGTGACAGAGTGTAAACACATTTGGCGTGCCCGGCTCGTAAATCTCCCGAAGCCGCACTTGGACTTTGGCTAAAACCAAATGCTGACGCGGTGACACGATGTCTTTTATTTTATTTTATTTCGATTTTTTATTCGTTTTTATACCCTGAACCCATTGAAAATGGGAAATCAGGGTATAATGGTT